TGTCCTCTGCTCTGCTCTGCTGCTGCACCCTGATGTCTCCTCCTGCTGCTGCTCCTTCTCCTCCTCCTCCTCTTCCTCCTCCTCCTCCTCCTCCTCCTCCTCATACTGCAGGGTTACCCTCGATCCCTCTAAACGACAGAACTCTAACCGCTGTGTCTCGGGCGCCTCTCTGCCCCAGGGATCCAAGATCAGTAAGTCCCTTCCACGTTCTCACTGTCGCTGCCTTCCTGTCTGCATGTGTTCGTGTGCTCGCGAGCATGCGGGGGCTGGGGATGTAAGCATCATGTCAGCCCCCCCACACACACCCTGGCCTTTTTCCTGGATAAAGAGCTATGTGAGGTGCCTGGATATTTATCTTCTCATGTTATAAACAGTGGGGTGGCAGAAGCACAGCTCCCGCAGCCACATGCTGGGGGTCCAGAAACCAGCTCTCCTGAATGACCTGGGACAAGTCAGTGGCCTCTCTGAGCCTTGTCTTCTGATTCTGTACAGTAGCGATAGTATCAACAGAACTCTTTTTCGAGGGTCGTTACGAGCACTGAGTCGGGTGATGATACAGGCCAAGCTGAGAAGGCTGCCTTGGAAGGTGCCTGATGAATATGTCATTTAGAAATGAGCTGGATGTGGCGGCGCATGCCTGTAATCCCAGCACTTGGGAGGATCGCCAGGAGTTCCTTGCCAGCCTGGGCTACATAGTTCAAGGCCACCCTGGACTACTACATAGTGAGATACTGTCTTGAAAAAGAAACTGACTTGCTATTTCTGCCCTTTACCAGTGTACACTGGGCCCTAACGTGCACGTGGCATTGTCCCAGCCAGTGATGGCGAACCTCGGAGCTTTCTGTGTGTGTGCGCCTCTGTGTATCTCTGCTGCCCCTTCTGTATGTAGGTGTTCCTCCCACGTCCCTGTCTTACATCTTCCAAATTCTTCACTACCTCTCCTGTGACCTGCACTAACCATTCCACCGAGAGCCCCTGGGACTCCGGCCTCCTCAGAGCCTGGCTGGGGGTGGCCCTGTCCGCATTACACACTCTGCTCCCTCCCCTGCCCTAGGGTCGCAGACGAACCTGAGAGAATCGGGGGACCTGAGGTCACAAGGTGAGTCCCCTGCCGCCCAGACTGCCTGGCGCCCCCCTGGCCCCAGCAGCCCCCGCCACTCTGCCTAGCTCTGCAGTGGGAGTCGAGTCTCATTTTCCAAGGCCAACTTCCTGAAATGGCCCAGGCCCCTCCCTCACACACCAGCCTTGATCCCCCTTGTCCCCACCTCCCCCGGCCATCTTGGGCGTCAGCCTTGGCTCATCACTGACCAGCTCCCTCCTCTGCCCTCACCCTGCTCCCTTTCCCCTCTCTGGCATTGAAGGCAGAAGCAGCGCTGGCCACTCTGGTCAGATAGTACAGCCAGTCAGTAAATATTTTAGGCGTGGAGAGCAGACAGTCTCTGCCATTCAGAGCAGCCTACTCAGTATAAAAACAAATGGGTGTGGCTGTGGCTGGGTCCCAGTAAAACTCTTTACCAAAGCCACGGTGCAGTTGTTTCTTCCAAGCCTTGCTTTAGTTTGATACTGTACTAGTTTAGAGACCCCGGTAGAAACCAATCACAGCCTTGGCTGGGTGTGGTGGCACACATCTATAATACCAGCACTTCGGAGGCTGAGGCAGGAAGATCGCTGTGAGTTTGAAGCCAGCCTGAACTACATAGTGAGACCCTGTGTCCAAAAAAAAAAAGAAAAACAGCCTTTCTGTGAGTTCCTGCAACTTCCCAGGAATTATTCTCATTGGCTGTATGTAAGTCACATGCTCATCTCTAAACCAAAGCCTATGGGCAGAAAGATGGAACACTCGATTGGTTAGATTTGATCATGTGCTCATTCTTGACCCAATCACAGTGGCCAGGGAAGTGGACCCTGTCGTTGGCCCAAACAGTCAATTATACCCTTAGCTGCAAGGGGCAGTCAGCTCCATTGGAAGTAGAGAGCCTAGATCTCTGCATTTTGTGTGTGTGCAGGGCTGTACTGTACATTGTAGAACATTTATCGTTTCTTGACCTGCCTTTGCCCCCAGACAAAAAATGCCGGAGTATCCCAACCCAGCACGTGACAGTTGGGAAGCCCTGGGAAATGCCTAAGCACCCCTTTGAACAGACAGTGCTCTATAGGACAGAATCCCTGGTCCCCCAAGGGAGAGATGGTCTTCATTACCAGAAGAAAAGAGCTCAGCTGCTCCCGTGAGACCCCCAAATACAGAGGGGAACTTTTCATCCCAACCACGTGGCTGAGGCAGGCCGTGTCGTGAGGATGTACCACCGGAGCTCCCTGGAGGCCAAAGGGAGAGTGGCTCTGAAGGGTCAGCCAGGTGTCTGTCCCGGGATCCCCTCAGCTCCCTGCCCACCTTCCTGTCCTTCTGGTCTCTGACGTCTTCTGTCTTCCCGCCCAGTGGCCATCTACCTTGGGATCAAGCGGAAACCGCCCCCCGGCTGCTCCGATTCCCCTGGAGTGTGAAGCTGACCAGCTCGCGCCCTCCTGAGGCCCTGATGGCAGCTCTGCGCCAGGCCACTGCAGCCGCCCG